GCTTTGGGCGTAATTGCTGTGGTAACCGAACACTTCAATCACCGGTTTTTCGCGAATAAAAGGTCAATCTTGTAATCAAACTACAACAGATGATAGAGGAATCATTCTTCTACCTGATTGCGGTATTAATGTTCGAGATTGAGCTTTTATTCATGAGAAATCGCCGATTTGTGTTTGTTTATCAAAGCAATTACGCCCAAATTTCAAACCATTCCAGATATGTTTATACACTGAAAAAAAAATACTCTCACCTATAGATTTTTGCCGAAAACAAATTCATTTAATTTTACTATTATTTCTTCCAAAATTACCAGGCATTTTGAGCAAGCATAGTATTTTTGCCAGAATCATAGTAAACTTGTTAACATTCACAGTTAACTATAGTGATTTCATAACAGATTTAACAGTAATTATCGTGGTTATATTGATAATAACTAGAAAGAGATGGAATTAGGGCGAAACAGCTTTTGTAAACAATGACTTCTCTCGATGATGGCCCTTATTATGGGTGTCACTTCACGGTGAAAACGAAGTGAAGTGACCAGTTGTCACTCACGGTGAAGTGATTGCCGTGTAAATCAAATGGGAATCACTTCACCGTGAGTGACAAGTTATCCGTGAAATGAGATCGGTAATAAGGGCTGATTTCTCGAAAGCCACCCAACAAACAATTTTAGCTGCAGCTTAGCTTATACAGGCAATAATTAGCTGCATAAGGCAAATTTTGGCTGCATAAGCTAATCTGCAGCTAAAATTGTTTGTTGGGCATGGCTCTCCCTGGCAAATAGACATCATCATCGAGTAGGGTAAGACTTTCCCTACTCGATGGATATGTTGCTTTATGTAGGCGTGCCTTGAATTCCTAGATCTCATCGAGAGAAGTCATTGTTTACAAAGGCTGTTACGCCCTAATTCCAGCTCTATCTAGATAAGTGTTTTCTGCAAAATAGTATTCCTAGTAGTAGCAACAAGCAGTGGAATCCTATCCCATATCCTAACTGTCGTGACTCTCGGTTCGTTGGTCCCTGTTCGGAAAAGGACGGCACTGAACCTAATAAGCAACGGCCTCAGCCACCGAATCGAAGCTTCGAGCGGGAACGTTCTCCGACAGGACAATAACTTCTACTGGATTGGAGTATGATGAGGACTCGGATGAACCACATGTGACGGTGGTAAGTAGACGAAGCGAGTCTTGCATTATCAGAGGTCCAGATGCTGTTCAGATTCGGATGAACGCTTCCGGGAGGAGTTTCTCCCGAAAGCCATCGACTCAGTCAAAGATGCGTCGCCAGCGTTCTAGTTTGAGTTTCAACAGGAATCAGACTTGGAGGTGGGGTTTAATGTGTCCTCACGGTAATATAGTTCAAGCCCCGTAACGTGGGTAGATCACCTTTTCGTGGTACGTTACGGGATGTAAGATCTACCACCGATTCCTAGTCCTGACTACTTCAAACTAGGGGGGAACAGGATTTTTCAGTAATCCAAGGAACACATCTTATAGTGAATTCATTTATTATTCAGTTCCAACCTGGATTTGGGTCTGCTTGTTTTCTGACAAACGTCAGTTTGTTCGTTTGTTTTTAAAACCTAGCTCAGGTTGAGGTTCGCACTGACAAAAAGTTCGGTTTCGCACTGGTTCCAACCCCGATAATAAACGAATTCGCTATTAGTCCTTGCTACTTTTTATGTCTTGTTGATAGTGACAAGACTCGGCTTTGTCCACCGAGGATGATCTTGAAACAAGGAAACAATGAGTTAGTTAGTCTTCATCTATGTGATTCCTAATCTTCTATTCGTTGTTACCTAGTTTGAAGTGGTTAAGACTAGGGTTCTGATGCATGGTCATTACCGGTGTCATTCCTTAATTTTGTTGCTAAGGAATCCAATTTTGACTGACAAAGGGGCGCGCCTTTCGAGGGTGTTTCAACTCGTTACGATAAATGCGAGAATGACAACTGTAAAAAAATCGAATACTTCATTTCTAAATAGTGATGGAGTAATCCGACATGCACTAAACTAAGGAAACGGGATACAATAGATACAATAGATCAAATTACTGGTCGCAGTAGTGTTAGGCGAGATGTTAGGTCCCGAACAGAGGAAAGAAAAATGATAGTCCAACGATCGGACAAATGGAGAGAAGTATGATGTCTACCTTCGAACATGGTCCGAGTGATCATCGAAGGCGAATTCATCGATGTCAGTTACGAAGAGGAACGAATACTTCCTTGAATGTCGGTTGGCTGATCAACTAAGTGGTGAAGCGTTTCGGAATCAAACATGGTAAATGACCACTGATAAAACTACTATAGCCTTTGTGTGGACACCGATCCCCTTTCGACCTTCTGTGCGGCTCGGATTCCATAATCAATTAGTACCTCATAGAGATCGAAAAGCTGCGTTCGGATCAGTTCTACGAGGATTATTGCAAACATCGCGAAGTTGAAATGCTTACCGAACTGTTCCAATCACTGGGCACCATGGAAAACACCGGTCACTTTACACTTCGTCGGGACTTCTTCTCCGCCAAGCCTATAAATATTCTCTTTCAGGCTCTGGGTTACTAGAGTCATGTCTAAGAGCTAAACCTATCCTTCAACCAGCTCACCTTCAAGCCCAACAACTAACCAATCAACATCTTACAATTCCACTTAACCTCCTTCGGCTGTTATTTCAGCGAATGTCACGAATCTCCCCGCCCCAAATCGATCTACCAACGTCTTCAACGTTCTCTTCACTTCCTCCTTCCAGGGTCTCGCTCTCCCCACTAACAAACTCACTAATCACATTCCGAATCGGCATTATGACCAGTAGCTTCCGGAGCGATGCCACACCCTGCCCAACTTCGATCAAACTGTTCTCAAACACCAAAGCCTTCCGCACCATATCCTACAGTTCGATCGTCTTGAGTGGAGGTTGAAGTCGGTAGCAACTCCAGCACCATCCGGAAGACATCCAGTATGACCCCCAGATTACAGTTGTACTTGGCAACGGTCATCGCCTTGTTGACCTCGCTCATCCTAATGTTTTGAAAATATGTGCGCTGTGAGGAACCCATGGCAGAACTTCGCCGGAAATTCACGGTTGAAGTTATGAAATCAAAAATTGAATTGTGTCAACAGCAATGATTAACATTTTGACACATGCACAGAGCAGGCGCAGATATAGTACAGTCTTACCAGTAACCTTAAATATCATGAAAATTTCTAACCATGGATGCAAATGAAAGTGACTAGATGTGCCCATCTGTATTTTTGGCACACTGTGCAGAGTGACCAACGCCATAGGTAGGTCACTCCGCACACCAATCTTGAGTCATCTTTTTTTGCAGTGTGCCGCAGGTGTGTTTATTGTGTCGGTCATAGAGCAAGCTGCGATTGTTTGTACAAATACCCATCCCAGCAACCCGGTATTTCTGACACCTTGAATGTTTTGGTTTGAAATTGCAAGGATAAATCGGATTGAGGATGACGCGGGAAGTATCGGGTGTGCAAAATTTGGGTGTTTTGTGTTCATAAGATAGTAAAAGCCCTGTGTTTTAGAGTTTTATAATGCCCTCAAAGGCAGACCGGAAACCTAGCCTTTCGTGATGCGCAAGCAACGGTCTATCAGCGGTCGGAAAGAGTTGGAACCGGTGGGGAACATTGTTGGAGACCGACTATAGAGGAAAATGAATAGACTTCTGTAGTTTGTTTTGTGTGAGTTCCAACATTATTTAAGGGGGTATTCCCAATCTTTTGCCTTTTTTCGGCCTGTTTTTCAATTATTTTTTTTTTCAAGGAAAATGAATAGTAATGCGCCTAACTCTTTGGGATTATTGTTTATTGAACATTAAAGTTTACAAATAATTTTTTTTCGACATAAAAAAAGACATTATTGACGTCACAAAATGGCGGCAAACAGACCCCTGTTCGCCGCAAACGCCTGGACGGGCGAAGACTTTTCTCTGGAACGGCTTCATCTGAAACAGATTTCGTGATGAAATTAATAATCTGCATAAGATTCTCTGGAGCTTCTCCCGTTGGCAGCAAAAAATCTTGCAAATTAACAAAATGGCGGCCATATGAAAAAACAGGCGATTTTTAGCCCGCTTTTTTGCAGCTTTACGGTGCTTCAAACAATGTTAAATGTTAATATTTTTGGCTGAAAGTGGGAGAAGCTCCAAAAAATTTAATAAGGAACAAAATGCGCAAAGATTCAAGTCAATATCTCTTATAGTTTCTGAGAAAAATCTTCGCCCGATAAAAAAAATGTGGTTTCGAGAAAAACGCGTTTAAAGTTTTGACTTTAGTTAAAACCATTTGGGGGTTCTTACCATTAGTCAGCTATGCCTGGACACCGAATTCGCTGATCGGAAAACGGCTTGGGGGGATGAAAGTATATAGTCTAAAGTACAAAAAAACGTGAAAAACAAAAATTTGATTTTTTGAAAAAAAAGATCGGGAATACCCCCTTAAATTAAAGGTATACTAATGGGGTCTGATTAACTGCCTCTTTCTCTTTATTCAGATCTATAAGTGAACTGCTGGTCTGAGTTCCTCTGGTATATTCAATTAGTGGATGTTGTTGAATATGCAGTTAAACAGCACGTAATGTTGTGAACAACTTCAATGACAGTTTTCCATATGAGGGCGCCAAAGTCACGAGTTCTGTCGAATTTGATGGTGCAAAGTATTACCCAATAGTGCTAAATATTTTGCTTATCGGTATTGCCAATTTGCTGTAGTGATGATATCGATATTCGAAAATAATTTCTGGCAACTCTGTTTAAAAGTTGAAGCATAAATTATACGAGTTGGTTTGTCTAAGAACAAACAAACATTATACATATTGTTATATCCGTAACCAAGGCCAACAAGTAAAACAAGCTGTTGTTAAGAGCTACTATTTATTACGTCTATCTTGGTTGGTGGTCGGATAAAGAATCAGTCTCTAACTTATGACAGTTAGGCAAGGCCTACTACATCTAGGCCTACTACATCTCCCCCTTTTAGAAAATGTCATAGGAAGAGAGCCATCTTGGAATTCTTGATTCTCGTACAGAACGTCAATAAAGTCTCCAACTGCTTCAGATGACACGGGCCTTTGTGCGGACTGAAGTTCTCCATCTTGAGCAGCAGGTTCATGATCGATTGTCGAAAAAGGATTTTCGCCAGACGTACTTGCCACTCGACCATCAGCTTCGAGTGATACGGAACCAACAGGAATAGGGACATCGTTATTGAATGGCACTTCTGGATCCAACGGTACAGCTTCATCTTGAATTTCATCAAGCAGGATTTCTCATGGTAGTTGCTGCGTCGCTTGCTCTGGATCATCAGAAGTGTGACGAGGGCGCATTTGGTTTACATGCGACCTCACCAGCTTCGGTCTCCCGTTTATGTCCAGTGCAACGATATAGTTGACGGAACCTTTCCGTTCGATGACTCGACCAGGAATCCAGGACTTGGCGTTTCTGCGATGCTGTTCAACGTAGACCAGGTCATCTTCTTCAAACTCGCGCTTGACTGCTCCATGCCGCCAATTGAACTGTTCGTTTTGTTTGTGGTTCTTGACAGCTTCAGTTACAGAAACAGGTTTCTTCAGTAGGTCCAAAGTGGTGCGCACTGGTCTTCCGAGGAATGCTTCTGCTGGAGACGTCGAGTGCGGTGTGTTTCGGTTTGGGATTGAACGATACACCGAAAGGAATGTCTGCAGGTGCTCCAGTGTGGATGATCCTTCCCTCTTGGCTAGCTTCTTGAGGCCACGCTTGAGTGAATCAACGAATCGCTCCGCTTGGCCGTTGGACTGCGGGTGGTAGGAAGCAGTGCGGAGATGGGTGATACCATTTGCACGGCAATACTGTTGAAACTGCTCGCTGGTGAATTGCGTTCCGTTGTCTGAGACCAATGTGTCTGGGTTGCCGTAACGAGAAAACGTTTCACGCTGCATATTCAGGGTTGCAGTTGTGGTAATGGATTGAGTGCGAACAATTTCGGGCCACTTAGAGAAAGCATCTACCATGACGAAATAGTAGTATCCATGGATCGGACCAGCAAAATCGATATGGACACGTTGCCATGGCTTGTCCGGGAGAGGCCATGACTCCAAGGTTGCTTTTGTCGGGGACTTCGCTGCTTCAGCACATGCAGTGCACTGACAGACAAATTGCTCCACATCGTCGTCAACGTTAGGCCAGTAGATGTAACTTCGGGTCAGAGACTTCATTCGGTCCATTCCTGGGTGTCCACGATGCAGTTGACGAACGATCCGCTTTCGAAACTTTGATGGGACGACGATTCGATCGCCGAACATAACGCAGTTGTCGACAACTTGAAGTCCATCTCGTCTGGTGAAGAACTTCTTGACATCAGGATCAGCAACTTGCTTCGCATTTGCTGGCCAACCTTCGTTAAGGAAATTCACCACTTGCTGAAGAACTGGATCCTTTCGCGTCTCAGCCACAATCATCTGGTGCGTGACTGGAAGGTTGCTGATGGTGTCGTCGAGAATTGCTTTTGCTTCAGATTCGGCGCACACGGTGGCTATGACGTAATCCTCATCTGGTCTATGCTGCGATGACCAAAATTCGTCGATGAAACGTGTTGGATGTCGAAATCGTACAGCAGAAGTGTCAAGGCCCAGCGCTGCAAACGGTTTGTTGTGTAAACAGTAATACCTTTCTTTGAGCCGAAAACCTTGAGTAGCGGTTGATGATCGGTTTGCAGGAGGAAGTGTCGTCCATACAGCATTTTGTGGAAACGGGTGACAGCGAATATCAGGGCCACTGCTTCCTTCTCCACTTGTCCGTAGTTCATCTCTGCTGGGGTCAGTGAGCGCGAGGCGTGCGCAATTGCCGTCACTTCACCGGTCGTGAATCGATGCATGATGACAGCGCCAAGGCCGTACTTCGATGCATCTGCTGCAACAACGATTTCCTTGGACGGGTCGCAGTGTGTAAGCAGCAGGTCGGAAAGTAGAATGGCCTTGAGCTGCTCGAAAGACTTCTGGCAATCCTTGGTCCAGTTCCAGCGTGCATTTTTCTTGAGGAGGCTGTCCAGAGGAGCCCTGAGTTGCTTCATCTGCTTAACGAATCTACCATAGTAGTTGACAGCACCGAGGTAGGAACGGAGTTGCTGGACATCCTTCGGAGACTGCATCTTGGAAATGGCTTCTGTTTTTGAAGGGTCAGGCCGAATACCGTCCTTATCCACGATGTGTCCGAGAAACTTGATCTGGGAGAGTGCGAAACGACATTTTTCGAGGCGTAGGTGAAAGCCATACTCACGGATCTGCTCGAGAACAGCGTAGAGACAGCGATCGTGTTCCTGCTTGGTGCGACCAGCGATGAGGATGTCGTCCAAATACGGCTTGACTCCAGGGATGCCGGCCACCATGCTGTCGATGATGCGCTGGAAAGCGCCGGGTGCCGACTTGACTCCGGGGGGTAGTCGGTTATACTGGAACAGTCCACGATGCGTGTTGACCGTGAGTAGCTTTCGCGATTCCTCCTCGACCTCGACCTGTAGGTAAGCGTCAGACAAATCGAGATGAGTGAAGTAACGTGCTCCAGCTAGTTCCGCAAAGAGGTCGTCAGGATGAGGCAGTGGATGATGGTCACATTCTAGCGCGTTGTTCAGCCCCGTCGAATAATCGCCACATACACGGACTGATACATTGTCCGACTTGCGTACGACGACTATTGGTGCTGTCCAGTCCGAGAATTGAACTGGAGAAATTATACCGTTTTGCTGGAGCCTCTCAAGTTCTGCGTCCACCTTGGCGAATGCAGCGTACGCTACTGGTCGTTTCGGGCAATATGCAGGACGTGCGTCAGGCTTGAGGTACAACTTCACTTGCGCTTTTGTGCATCTACCCAGCGTGCTTCGAAAAACTTCCGGAAACTGTTGCTTGAGTTGATTGGTGAACTGATCAGAACGTTGGTGTACGACGTTGACCAAGCTGCTTATCGGCACAGACCACAAATCGAACAGATCCATAGTCTCGATTCCTAGAACGTTGAGTTCAGCGCTGCTTGAGATGAAAATGCGACCAGTATTGGTAACATTCTTGATGGTGATCTCGGTCTGGAACTCAGCGAGAAGGTTGAGATTGCCACCAGAAGCTGTAACTGCAGATTCTTCCGTCGGTTGAGTGGGTGGCTGTCCGATGCTGATCCATGTTTCTTCTGAGATTATGGTGATGTCGGACACCGAGTCGTGTTGAAGTTTGACTGCTACACCATTGAGCTCGACCGGGATGAACTTCCGCTTGCTTCCGATGTTGCGAACCGTGTAGATGCTTTTTGTCTTCACGTTCTTTTTGGATTTGGCCTGTTTGAACGGTTTCGACGGCGCATTCTTGTTGCTGTTGCAATAACCTTCCTTGTGTCCTTGTTGCTTGCATCTGGAACAGGTGTGCGAAGCGAACGGACACTCACGAACATAGTGCTGGTCGCCACACTTCCAACATGGCGTTTTCGACACTTTTTGGTTTTTTTTTTAGGCAGGATTATTCTGGTTGCGAGAAACAATGTTGACGTTGCGTGCTTCTTTGTTCTCCACCGTCAATGTGTCCCGCTTGAGATTGGCCACGTGATGGCATTCTTCCACGAGGTTCTCCAGGGTTACCTTGCTGGTGGCTTCTCCCAATTCGTTGACTGCGGTTTCGTCGGCTTCCAATTTCGAGATCAACCTAGCTCGTATGTACGCATCCCGTGGCGATTGGAGTCCACAGACGAAACGGAGAGCTTTGAATTGGTCCGGTGTGAGCTTGGACAGCTGAAACGCTTCACAGTGTTTGTTCACCATGGCAGCATACGATGTGAAGTCATCCGCGTCACTTTTTGCATACTGGTACGGGAATGAAAAACCGACTTCTGTCGACCGAACAGTTTCTTCAGTTTCGTGACGGTTTCGTCCTGGGTGAAGTCCCGGGGATGCTTGGGAAGAATGGTGTTGACGTACTTCTCATGCAGAGGCGTGCTTAACTTGCGAAGAAGCAATCTCACACGAGCGGCGTCATCCAGGGATTGGCCGTCCTTTGTAAAGACATACTCGTACCTCGCATACCAGCCATCGAAGAAAACTCCTACGTCCGGATCGTACTGGAAATCCTTGATCCCGCTTGCCAAGGACTCAATAATCTTCTCACTGCCAGCAGTCGGATTTCCCCAATTTTCCAGGTTTTCAATCTGCTGCTGCTGCCTCGGGATGCAGCAGCAGGATGGCGTTCCGAAGATCCTCGTCAGACATTTTCTTGCTTGAGGTTTCTTGCTTTCGAGGTTCGAGGTGCTTCCAAAATTTTCCTCGTCGCCAATTGTTATATCCGTAACCAAGGCCAACAAGTAAAACAAGCTGTTGTTAAGAGCTACTATTTATTACGTCTATCTTGGTTGGTGGTCAGATAAAGAATCAATCTCTAACTTATCACAGTTAGGCAAAGCCTACTACACATATTGTCCGTGTAAAGGAGAGAAAAAGGCTTTTTTTCGAATATGTCTTAGCACACACAAAAGGGCAACCGTAGGACTATTTTTTTACAATTTTTATTCATTTTTATGTGTATAATGTACTTGTTTTTTAAATTTTATTTAAATGTTTTTTTTTTATTATAAAACGACAAAATCGTAGCCATATTTTTTTACTTTTAATCATTAATATATAATATATATTCTCCTTACATTCCATTGTTCCAGCATCTTTTTACTGTAATTTCCAGTTGTGTTTTTTTTTCTTCTTTTTCTTCTTCTTTTTTCAAACACCGTGTAGTTCTGTAGTTTCTTAATTACTGCGCTCTTCTCTACCAGTTTGGTTTTTTCTTCTTTCTTCTGTTTTGATGCTTATGTTTGTGTGTGTGTGTTGTTGAATGTGTGTCAAACTTGTCCGATTTTGTCCATATTTTGATTTTGTGTGTGTGTTTTTTTCTTTGCATTTTCCCCAACTGACAACTGTTGTCGTTGTTGTTGATGATGTTTTTAGTGGCGGTTTTCTTCTCTTTCCCTACTACATTCCTACTCTCTCTATCTCTCTCTCTCAGGGGATCTCTTTTGCGTGTTTGCTTTTCTTCTTGTTGTTTGATTTGATTTGAGTTGATTCTCGTTTTGCAATCCAATTCGTTTGTCCGAAATAAGAAACAACGCGTCTGGATTTTTATTTTTTTGGTTTACTTTGCTATGTTGTGAGTGTGTGAGTCATTTTTCCGATTGTTTCTTCTCAGCTCTATAGCTTACTTCCTCCCTCCGTGTTCTCCATAATCTTAAGGGTTGTCGTTTATCAGCTACGTTTTTCTCTATTTCTCTGTTGCTTAGCTATTACATCTTTCACTATGTTTTGTGTGTGAGTGTGTTTTTTTTTTGATTCTGTTCTGTGTTGTCACATTCAATTTACTAACGGCTTCCTCTATTTGTTTGTTGGTTTTTTTTTTCGACGCTCGCTACTACCCTCTAAATCGTAAAAGTACAATTTCCTCAATATTTTAGTTTACCTACAATAATATTTAATCTCTTGTTCTTCTTTCTTCTTTGAAGATTGGTTTTCCGAGGGAGAGCGAATAGCGGTTTCCCGCTTCACTCTCTCCCTCTCTCTCTCACCCACTGACTGACTTGTTGTCGCTTGTTTTGGCTAAACGCTAGTGTTGTTTTTTTTTTGTTTGTTTTTTGTTTTGTTTTCGCTACATCTCTAACCACTTCTCCTCGTTTTTTTCTTCTACTTTCAATTCTTCTTTTTTGCATGCGCGTATGTTTTTTGTGTGTGTGTGTTTAATGTCTTTTTTTGTTTTGTTCATTTCTTCTTCCGTTTTTGGTTGGTTGCCTTTTTCATTAAAGCTCTCATTGTTTTGACTTTACTTGTTTTGTTTTCATTTTAGGTTATCAGAAGAAATGTGGGTGGGAAATTGCTGTAGGAATAATCCACCCAATAATGCAAGGGGGAAGAAAGACAGACAAAGACATTTGAAGCAGCAATGGCAGCGGCAGAAGAAGAGGTTTAGAGAATTGGTAAGTTCTTTTGTTTGGGTTTGTTTTCGAAAAATTGATATGTGTGCGGGTGCATGCGCTCTGGTCGCGTCCGGTTCGGTTGTGTTTGCCACAGAAGCGAGAGATTTGACGTGGAAGAGATTGGTCAATTTTGTACATAGAGGAAGATCATCAAGCACAATGATTAGGTTTGCATCCGTTAGAAATTGAAATGCCACATAGCGCAGTGTGTGTGTGTGTGTTTGTGTGTAAAAGTGGTTTCATTCCAGTGTGGCCAGATGTGCATTTTTTTTTTTGGGTTTCGGTTTGTAGCGATTAGAAGGAAGAAAGAATAGATTGAAAAATTGTATTCCGAATTTCAAGTTGTCATTTTTTTGAATGTTTTTTTTTTCTCATTTCTGAGGAGGAGTAAATCGTGTCTTACTGATCGAAGTGAAATGCACTTCGATCGAATTTAGCTTTAGTTTACTTTTCCCTACAATTTTAGTTATGTATAATATGAACAATCGCTTCTTCTACTTTTTCTTCTTCTTACACATGTTTTAACTTGTGTTCTGCGTTCGCCTGCATCAATTGAACGCCTAGTCTCAAATATAACACCTGTTGATTTGCTTTGTTATTTTTTTTTGCGATTTAGTTCTTCTGTTTATTGTTTGTAAAAATTTGCAATCAAAAAATTCACAATCATATGTATGCTTCTTGAACGCCTGTGTCGGTATTTTTTTTGTCTTGTTGTGAGTGTCTTAAATTGTAAACATTTATCTATTTGTTTCTCTGCTTATAGTTTGGTTTTGGGTTTTGTTAAACACTGGAATTGTTGCTATTTTCTCTCCACTTCAAAGTGTATGTTTGTGTGAGTGTATTTTGTATTCTGATGGGGTTTTGATCCGTCGATTCTTTTGTTTCCTATATAGTTGCGACTTACGCTCAATAGGCCTTGATATATGTGTGAGTGTGTGCTTTTTTTGCAAACAAAAACAAACTAAACTTCCCGGGGGGCGGGGTGAACAATTCGATACCTGTCCGTTCACCGCCGTACAGAATGTCAATGATATGGATATTTCATACGATTTTTTTCTTTGCAGAGAAGAAACGATTTTTTTTTTCTAGCAAAACAGCCAACAATAAACCCTATACTTAAGATGCTATCTGCCCTTGGTAATGTCAATTTGTATGGGTCAGGTAGGGAGGGGAAAAATGCAGGCAAAGACCGAGTTTTCCCAGCCTCCAAACTGTCAAAATGAAAGCTTGAGCAATCGAAACAAGAAAAAGGAAATGAAACGATTTGAAATATTGCACTTGGTTTCACACAATTGAATTTCACCTTAACAATTTAATTCTAACCTTAAAAAAAAACAGAGCAATCGAACAGAATCGATGAAAGTCTAAACAAAAGTCGGCCTAATTCCGGGAAAAAGAAGTCTGTGAAACTGTGGTCTGCCCGTTTTTCCCCCACCTGCCTTCCACAATTCGTCCTCCCCGTTTCAATGTCTGGCCCATTACGTTTTATCTTTTCTTCTGTTTAACAATAAAAATCACAATTAACAAGTTTTCTTCACTTTTCCACTAAATTTACACACACGTACAACTAAAACTGCGGTTGTTTTGTTTTTTACTTTAGGTTTGCGTCCGTTTTTATCTCATAAGTGAGTGTGTGTGTGTTTGTTTACGTTAGTGAAAAAATTTCCCCTTAAAACACTCTTCTAGTTACTGTTTTTCTTCTTCTTCTTCTTCTTCTAACCTCTTTTCCCTATACACAAATGTAACAAATATGACCCGATCTCAGTAAACGAACAAAAATATATTTATTTAGGCATCAACTAATCCAACTCGGTACTGCTCCACAATTGACTTGTTCTGTTTCCGCTTGGGTAACAACAGAAAACTTAAGAAGGAAACAGAAAATTAAAAACAATTCGCAAAATTTTCGCTAATTTTAGTTTAGTTCTCTTAAATTTTGTCATTTTGGCTATCTTGGAGACACATTTCATCATTTGTTTTGTTTTTTTTTTTTCATTTTGATTTGTTACGTTTGATTTACGCATTCATCGATTTGCTCTAGTCTAGTGTGTGAGTGTGAGTGTGTGTGTTGCGGTCTTTTCGCTCTTAGTAGGAAACATACATTGCAGCGAACTATCGCCTTCTACTTGTGTGGATTGTGTATGTTTTTTAGAAGTTTTTTTTTTCAGTGTGGAGGAAAAGTTTAGTTCTAGAAGTGGGAATTTCTTCGGATTCGTCACGTGTCTTTCAAGTAGCAGATGTACTAAACTTGTTTGCTAGAGTGTGGTTTTCGAAAACTGACTATGGATGAGCAACTCTACACCTGCTGGGGTGGTCTCAGATTTCATCATCCAATTTGGCATAGTTTGTCACCCTAGATGCAAGAGGGGTGAACAATTCTACATCGGTTGGTTTCATCCGACGAGATTCAAATCAAACCATTCACAATGCCGATTTATTTTCCTGTTTGATATGAAGGCGAACAATTCTACACCTG